GCTGAGTTATATTTTACACACGATTGGAATTGAAAATATATTTGACAAATATTTTCGTTGAATAGTACCACTGAAATATTTACTGGAATTGTTTCAAGTGTGCAACTGTGGGCAAAGGAAACTGGAATATTGTCGGGCACAAGTAACGGAATTGAAATACATATATTAAATGCCGTTGCGTCGGATTAATCACTTTTGGATTTAGACAATATATCATACAGAAAGTTAGTCGAAATAGGGTTCGAAAAACTGGCTGTATGACCGGCAATTATAGTAAGCGGAACTTATCTGGAGTGTTTCAAGCCTGCTGGGACAAAATCAAAGGAAACTCCAGGAGAGGAAAGTCCAAAGATTTTGAAATCCTGCTCGAACTGGACCAAAATGTTGGGGCGGTGCGGCTTGATCGCTGGAATAATTGAAGCCCCAAGAATGAGTGGTACCCAAAAAACACTCCAGAGCAGAGCGGAGACTTAGGGGAGAGATGGAGAGGGAGAGCGGACGGCAGTGCGAGCGCGCGAGATATAGAAATCTGGATAAAACTGCCGCTCGACACTGTCTCCTGAAATTAAACGCGCTTTTGGCGTGAACAACTAGGAATAAATCACTCTAAAAGATGGTCTAAAACACTCACTCAACAAATTTCAACATTTTTTTTAAACTATTCAAAGTGGAAATTTCATATAAAGAACAAGGAAGAACGCTATAGTCGAGTACCTCGACTATCAGATACCCGTTACTCAGCTAAATAGAGATATGCAAGTAGCAAAGCGAGATTAAAATGCGCCACCTACCGGCGGTATACAGATTTAAGCGTTGTGGGCGTTAGAGTGGGAGTGGCAAATTTTTGGACCAATCGATAGGTATTGACGAGACCAATACATTTCAGTTAAAATTTTTTATCTAGCATAAAAATTGTGGGCGTCACAGGTTTTCGCGGTTTGTGGGCGTTAGAGTGGGCGTGGTATATTCGCGTAACAAACTTGCGCTGCGTATAAGGCTACGGAATCTAAATCTGAAATCCCAATTCTCTATCTTTGATGGTTTCCGAGATATCCACGTTCATATCAACGATTTTTCGAAGTTTGTGGGCGGTTTATGGGCGTTAAGGTGGGCGTGGCAAACTTTTTTTGGGTCAATCGATAGGTATTGATGAGAACAATACGTTTCAGTTAAAATTTTCTATCTAGCATCTAAACTGTAGGAGCCACAGTTTTGGGCGGTTTGTGGGCGTTAGAGTGGGCGTGGCACTCTACTGAAACAAACTTGCGCTGCGTAAGAAGCTCAGGAATCTGCACGCCAAATCTCAATAGCCTAGCTCCCATAGTTTCATCCGGACAGACAGACGGACAGACGGACATGGCTAGATCGACTCGGCTAGTGATCCTGATCAAGAATATATATACTTTATGGGGTCGGAAACGCTTCCTTCTGCCTGTTACATACTTTCCGACGAATCTAGTATACCCTTTTACTCTACGAGTAACGGGTATAATAAACAGCAGATGTAAATGTTTTCACTTCACGCGGAAATTTAGTCAAAAAATATATTTAGTACCATACTAAATACCATAAATACACAAATAATACGAAAGCACAGTCATACTTTTTTTTCGAAGTCTTTTCGATGCTACGTTTGATATGAAAAACATTTTAAATTAATACGAATTTTATATTAATATGATGAAAAATCACATCAATTAGAAATGTTGATATGAATCCGTATCATATTGATATGAAGTCGTATCAATTTGATATCTAAAAGGTGATATGTGAAAATTGAGAAGACAATATCAAACGGATATTGTTTCGTTTTTTCTCTGTGTACACTTTGAAAATAGAAAATAGAATAGGACTTCGCCCATGTCGCACAGAGGCTTAGTGTCGCCCTGGAGGGCAGGCGAGAAGACATGAGGAAGGCACTGTCGGAATACTACTCAGAAACAGAAAACGACCCACAACTTGTCAACATCTGGACCGAGCTGGAAGCAACATACCACGACAGAGCCGGCCCAAGCATTACGTTAACAAACGCTGAAGGGGACAACCTGGTGGCAAGCCTGAGCTTTGACAACATGCAAAAAGAGGCCCACAGGAGAGAGTCAAGCCATGATAAGAAAATAACAGCCCTGACCCCGAGACCAAGCCAGTCGGACTATGCAAAGGTTGCTAAACAGGTCCGTGAATGGTCGTTCAGGTTCGACGGGGCGGAAAAACCATTTGAGTTCCTGGAACAGGTAGAATGGTCCGCCAACACGTACGGCTTGGACCTTAATATGATCCCTCGAGCGATGCCGGAGTTGCTTAAAGGAAGGGCGTTGAAATGGTTCATCGCCAACAACAAGCAATGGAGAACCTGGGCAGAGTTTATAGAAAGCTTCCACACCTATTTTCTGCCAAGAGATTTCTTCACCAGGCTAGCGGACCAGGTCCGGCAAGGGAAGCAAGGTATAAGCAGTAGTTATCTAAGTTTGGCATTATTATCATTTGTACGTAAGAGATATAAAATGAAGGTTTATGATTTAGTAAGTGGAAAGCGAAAATATGGATTTTCGGGTGCAAAGCCAAAACAGGTCAAGTTTGGTTCCGCACCATCCGCCCGAGGTGGCAACCATAGGGGAAAGACTAGAAAATAGAAAAAATACCAAACCGATCTGGCAAGGCAAAGGAAAAAAGGATGAGAGGGCCACACTGCGGTTTCCGGGGCTCTCTCTGCTCTAGTACCCCGAGGCGAACGGTCGCGCACGCGGGGAAAGGAAAATAAAGAAACACGCGGGAAAGAAAACGTCGTCGGTAGGAAATAAGGTTAGTGAATCAGTGTAATCGGCGCAGTGAAATCTAAAAACAATTAACACGACAAATAAAGCTGAGTGAGCGCATACGAAAGGAAACGACAAGTCGGGTTGATATACATGTTGTTTTCCTGTTGTCCTGTTGTGAGACGAAAGACCCTCTCACTTGCCCCATTAATCCCACATCGTAGCGGAATGGCAGACCCTTCCGACTTTGACTAATCAAACTTGCTGTAACGAACTGATTTTTGTGTCTACTCGCTACGAGATTCGAGCGGCTAGCTCAGAAGATTGTATGTTCGTCCCACCAAGTTTATATGACGTGATTGCCCCGTAGATCAGTGAGAAAACAAAGGGTTCAAATGGTAACAGTGGGATCTATTCTCGTGGTATTAGTACAGTGGGTGTGTGGCTGGGCTGGCTTCGGTATCTCCTGGCTCTGGTTCCGCCGGCTGCTGGCGCTCCTCTTTCTGGCTCCTCGACGCGTTGACTCGGCTTCCACTGGCTCCTGGGCTTCGGGACACTCGTAGTGGCCGCCTCCGCTTGCTTGCCGACGCGCTACCTCGGGGTCGCTTGTTGCGCCTTAGACTCGCAGAGAGTTCGGCCTTGTGGGCTTAGGGAAGCGTCACCGTTCTCAGACTAGGGTGAACAAGCCTTGCTCTCCAGGCCGACGCCTATTGAGGCAAAACCTTTCCCTTGCTCTGTCCCGGACGATCCCGCTAGGTTCTTGCTCAGACCGCGCTGACAGTCAAGGCTTCCGCCAGGAAGCCGTCTAGCAGATCACTTTGCATTACGCCTAGCGCTTCACCCTAATGCGTGACGTCCGCGACGCTCCTGCGCTCCCCAATGAGCTCCGCGCGGCGATGGTAACGTGGCTGCCGGAAATGTCTGCTGGCGTCGCTGTCGATGTCCTCTGCGCTGTCTTCTGACCAGTATCTCGTCGTTCTGGCACTCGGGGAGTTGGGCGGTTGCTGTTCGGGAACTTCGCCGGTAACCGCAGGGCTCTCCAGGCGGCCGCCTCTTGAAACCGCAAATCGATCTGCCGCTCGTCCGTCACGCCAGGTCCTGCTTGGTCGAGCAAGGTACGCTGGGTCGCAGACAACTTTCCTCCCCAAGGTGACGGTTCTTCGTCGTAAGACTCTTTTGCTTGTCTCTGCTTTTCTCTCGATCTCCATCCTCGGTCTCCAAACTCTCTCGCTCTCCATCCTTGGTCTCCAAACTCTCTCGATCTCCATCCTTGGTCTCCAAACTCTCTCGCTCTCCATCCACGTCTCCAAACTCTCCTCGCCGCGCCGTTACTACGCAAATTCGCCGCGTATCTGGTAAGCGGCCGGCCATCTGCTGCTGCTTCTATTTGTGGGGAGTTATTCAACTCCTCACATTCCTCACATTCACAACATTTAAAACTTGTTTCTACTCTCTGTCGTTTCCTTGCATGTCCTAGCCTTCGAGTCCTTGTGTTTCCCGCGGCGCTCCCTCGTTGCTTCTCGATGCTCCCTCGACGCTCTTAACTCCCTTGAGTTTCTACAGCGCTGGTCGTCCTCCTCGTAGCAACTTGAAGTCTCCCGCGCCGATATCTCCCATGTTTCCGCTGGGACATCGATACTCATGGGCTATCGATCCCCAGCTCGGTGCTCATTGCTGCGTCCCACTCCTTTCCACGGTTTCTCCGCCTGGTCACACCATCCGTGCGTGATCGATGTTTCTGCGACTATCGATACCGACGGTGCGGCGTTGCCACCTACTCGCTGCGATATTTCCACCTCGGTCGATATTTCCATTTTCGTGTGCCCATCAATCACACTATCGTCCAGTGCCAATCGATCGCCTATCGAGGTAAGGTAAGTCTTTTTTTGCATTTCTTTCACTCCTTTTCATCTCATCCTCTTCTCTCCTTACTTCCTCTCTCGCCCTTCACTCGTCCTCTGTTGGCTGCATCTGATTCCATATTGGCAGCTCTCAAGAGCGGGTGCGAATAGGACTTCGCAATCACTTTGCAACCGGAACAGCAGGTAAGTATTTGATGTTAGTTTCTGCTTCCTGCATTAAGACCCTTTGAATTTCAGGTTGCTGGTGTGGCCCATGCGTGCCCCGTTCTTTTTCCAGCCACATACCCAATCAACCGCTTGGGAAACCATTGTTTGTGTGTTTTTTTTTTGATTGTTTATTTTATTGCGCAAACACCCGGATGCCCGCGACTCCGAGCCTCACCCGGTACCTTCGTCCGCCTTCGCTGACCAGAACGCAACGCCTGCCGCCCTTCCGCCGTGCCGTCGCGACCGCGGGTGCCTCCTCGATCCCCTCCGGCCATTCGCTCCTGGCGATCTCGCTCCAACCGCCTTCCTCCGGGGCCGATACCTGCCGGGCGCCGAAGCTTGCCGCTGCAACGGGGGTCTTTGGGTGGCCGGTGGCTCGGGCCACACCCAAGGTTCCTTCTCCAGCGATTCCGCCTCCCCCGTCGCTGCCGTCGTCGCCGGTGTTGGCGGGCCCGTGTTCGGTGTCGGCGAGACCCACGCATCCTGCCGGCCTCTCGTCCGGGGATCCCGAGGATTCACCTTGGGGACCCCCTCCTCCCATATCCTGGGCTCCTCCCTCGTCGGTACCGTCGCGGGCCCCTCGGGCCACGTCCATACCACCGTCTGCTGCCGCCACCGCACGCCCTCGGCCACGAACGTCCGCGTGCTGTGGCTTACGTGCGTACCTCCGTCCGCACCACCGTCTGCTCCTCTGCCTGTGCCTGGTGGACTGCCTCCTCGTGAGGTTGTGGCAGCGGCTGCGCGGTCGATTCCTCGGATTGCGTCTCCGGTCGCTGTGACTCGGCGTATCGCGGCGTGGGTGGCCGAGCCGGCCTCCACGGCGTCGTGGCCAACGGGGCTCCTCCGTCGCTGTCTCGGGCTTAGTTCGTGAACCACTCCCCCTCGTAGCGGGGAGTGGGTGGCACCTCCGGCAGCCACCGCGGAGGGGATGGCACGCAGGGCTCGTCCCCATCCTCGCTCCTACGTCCCGGACTGGGCTCCTCGGCCGCGTACCTGGGGGTGAGTGGAACCTCCCACGAGTCCACCACCGGTGCCTCCCACAGACGTCGCTCCTCCTCCTCCGCCTCCTGCAGACGGGCATACCATCGCGCCGCCGCTTCTTCGTGGTCCTGCCGCAGCCGGATCTGCCACCGCACCTCCTCCTCCGTCGACCGCTGCTGCTCCTCGTCCGACGGCTCCCGGTCCCGGAACCGTTTCCGAGTTTCCTTGGCGGCCCGGCAGACATCCTCTGCGTGGCCCCTTGGGAGTTCCGCTCCTCCGACGTCCGTCGTCCCGCGCGGGATCCGATCGCCCGCCGCCGCTCTCCGGAGCCGCCACTCTCTTTCTTCGACGACGGGATCGCCGACCACCTCCACGTCGCTGTCTGAGCTCACCGCGGGTTCTGGTGCGGAGTCCTCGTCGTGGGTCCGCTCCAGGGCCCGCCGCGGAGCTCGGGTAGGCCGGGTCTCCGACCATCCTTGCCCCGGGCGGGGTCCCTGTAGGGCCGCCATCCTCCTGCGCGCTTCGGATCTTGCGACGCGTGTGCTCATCTTGGTTTCCTGACTTGTAATGCTCGACCGTCGCCAGACTCCCCATACATGAAACCTCGGTTGCGCGCCTTCCTCTTTGCCCGATACCGTTATGTCCTTTCTTTGGGGCGCTCGCTCTCTTACGGTACAGCTCTCTTTGCTGTGCCGTCTTCCCCCTTTTTTCGTAAACCACAAATTGTACTCCCTCAGATCACCGTGGCACCTGGATGCTGCGGTTCGTTGTTCCTCTCAGTTCCGTAACCAACTTGCTTGAGACCCTACCTTGATCACCCTTGGTAAGTATCCTTGGAAGTTGTCCTTGGGCCTACACCTTGCTTCGGGGCGTTCCTGGGTGGTATCCTTGGGGTATCCTTGGGGCATTATTGGGGTATCCTTGAGGTGTCCTTCGAGTACCATCGGGGTATCCTTGGGGTATCCTCTGGGTGTCCTTCGGGTATTATTGGGGTATCCTTGAGGTGTCTTTCGAGTACTATTGGGATATCCTTGGGGTGTTTTTCGAGTACTATTGGGGTATCCTTGGGGTATCGTTGGGCTATCCCTAGGGTATCCTTCGGTTGTCTTTTGGGTATCCTTCGGGTATCCTTGGAGTATCGTTGGTCTATCCCTAGGGTATCCTTCGGGTGTCCTTTGGGTACCCTTTGGGAAATTGTTGGGGTGTCCTTCGAGGACTATTGGGGTATCCTCTGGGTGTCCTTCGGGTATCCTTAGGGTATCGTTGGGCTATCCCTAGGGTATCCTTCGGTTGTCCTTTGGGCACACTTAGGGTATTGTTGGGGTATCCTTCCTGTTTGAAGTGATGTGCTTTTGCTACTGTTGTTGTCGACCTTGTCCGTGTCCTTCCCGCCTGGCCTAACCACGGATGACTCTGGCAAATGCCTTACGTTGAATCCTGACGCTGAATACGTTATCCTTGTGCCGTTTTGTAAGTGTCCCTTCCGCCTGGCGTTATCGCGGAAGACTCTGGCAACTGCTCGTCGCTGAATCCTGTTGCCTTGCGGGTGGATCCCTATATGTTAACCGTATCCTTGTGCTGTTTTGTAAGTGTCCCTTCCGCCTGGCGTAATCGCGGATGACTCTGGCAACTGCCCGACGCTGAATCCTGTTGCCTTGCGGTTGGATCCCTACACGTTACCCGAATCCTTGTGCCGTTTTCTAAGTGTCCCTTCCGCCTAGCGTAATCGCGGATGACTCTGGCAACAGCCCGACGCTGAATCCTGCTGCCTTGCGGTTGGATCCCTACACGTTGCCCGTATCCTTGTGCCGTTTTCTAAGTGTCCCTTCAGCCTGGCGTAATCGCGGATGACTCTGGCAACTGCCCGACGCTGAATCCTGTTGCCTTGCGGTCGGGATCACCATCCACCCTTATCCCCGTCCTTGTGACCTATATTTATGGTTGATCTTTCTGCGTGGCGTGTGAGTCTCGCTTCGGCCTGACGCATAATCCTTTGGCCTCGCAGTCTGGACTAACGTGAAATCCTTATCCATGTCCTTGTGCTATCCTGATTGTCCTTTCCGTGTGGCGTATGGATGACTCTCGCTTCGGCCTGACGCATAATCCTGTCGCCTCGTACCTGTCGTTAGACAATCTGACGTTTCTACTGTCTGCTCGTTTTGTTGTTGCTTGAGCTCGCCAACGTGAACTGTCCTTTCTTTCTTCGACTGTGTGTGGCGAATTTTGCAGATCCCTGGAGAGGCGAACTCTACAACCTGGTAAGGGCCATCGAACCTCGGGGCTAGTTTTGCAGCGAATCCTTCAGCCGCTTTGGACAGGTGATGTTCTGTAACGAACTGATTTTTATTGTCTGCTCGCTACGAGATTCGTGCGGCTAGCTCAGTATATTGTGTGTTCGTCCCACCAAATTTATATTAACGTGACCGCCCAGTAGCTCAGTGAGAAAGCACAGAATTCACGGGTTCGTATTGGGTTTTATTGCGGGTATATTATTACAAGTGTCTTAGTCGCTTGGTTGGCTTTGACTCGTTGCTTGTGACCTTCGGTGCTTCCGACGGTCCTGGATGACTCTACGACCTCTCGCCTTGATGACTCGGTGCTCCCGTCCTGTAGCTCCCTGAAGATACTCGCAGCTCCCTGAAGATCCTCGCCGCTCCCTGAAGATCCTCGCAGCTCCCTGAAGATGCTCGCTCGCGGTTCACTTCTCACGCGTGACTTGGTGACTGCTGGTAACGACTCGGACTCGCGAGGGGTATCGGCCGTACGGGCTTAGGGAAGCGTCACCGTTCTCAGACTAGGGTGAACAGAAGCTGCGCTCTCCAGGATCGCTCTTTTCGACACACCGCCGCCTGTCCCTTGCTCTGTCCCGGATGGTCCCACTGGGGTTTCTGCTCAGCCCGCGCGGACAGTCAAGGCGGTAACGCCAGGAAGCTGCCTCGCGCCTTACTTCGCTTCCACGCCTAGTGTAAACGAACGTTCCACCCTCACCCTTTTGCTTTTTGTCCGGGACGTTTCCGTGTGGCTTTTGGTACTCGGGGTTTGGGCACGCCGCTCCGGGACCTCGCAAGTCGAATCCGTAGGGCTCTCCTGGATAATTCCACTCGAGACCGTACCGATCGACCGCTCTCCCTTCTGGCTTGTTATATTCGTGGTTCGGGCACGCCGCTCCGGGACCTCGCAAGTCGAATCCGTAGGGCTCTCCTGGATAATTCCACTCGAGACCGTACCGATCGACCGCTCTCCCTTCTGGCTTGTTATATTCGTGGTTCGGGCACGCCGCTCCGGGACCTCGCAAGTCGAGTCCGTAGGGCTCTCCTGGACAATTCCACTCGAGACCTTACTGATCGACCGCTCTCCCTTCTGGCTTGTTATACTCTTTCCAGGCGTAACGCCAAGACTTTGTGGACCGGGTTAATCGACCGCCTTGACCTAGCCGTGTGATGCCCTCTGGATCTCAGCTACCTGCGTCTCAATTCGGAGATTCCTGGTATCCCAATCCCGAACGTCTCGACGTAGCAATCTCGCTCCTTGTAGGCTCCCACGGCGCTGCTTCTCTGGCGACTCGACTTGCTGCTGCTCCCTTGTAGGTTATCTGGTTGTTTGATTGTTCACTTTGGTATCTGAGTGATCTTGACGGTTTGACTCCTTGTGATCGACTGATCCAGCTGCCAGCGCTCTGCGGCCTTATATAGGGCCTCCAAGCACCGTTATTCCTCTTTTGCGCACGGCCCGCTGGATCTCTCCACTTTGGGTCCAAAGTCCGTGCCTCCTGGATGACCCACTTGTCCTTTATGTACCGCTTCCAATAGATGTTCCGCCCACTGCTGCCGTTCCGCTGATTCCCGTGCCGCTTGTGGCACGCCTGTGTGCCGCTCCACTGCCGAGATGTGGCACTTCCTCTCCCGGTCCAAAGTTCACGGGAGAGTCCAAAGTCCAGAGGAGTTCCGTTATCCCCTTCTGCATACGGCACTCTTGCTCTGCCCGTGAAGTCTCCATTCTCTCTCGATCTCCTTCATTGGTCTCCAACCTCTCTCGCTCTCCTTCGTTGGTCTCCAACCTCTCTCGCTCTCCTTCGTTGGTCTCCAAACTCTCTCGATCTCCTTCGTTGGTCTCCAGACTCTCTCGTTCTCCCCGCCGCGCCGTTACTACGCGAATTCGCCGCGTATCTGGTAAGCGGCCGGCCATCTGCTGCTGCTTCTATTTGTGGGGAGTTATTCAACTCCTCACATTCCCCCCTTACTTCGGGAAACATTTAAGACTGGTTCCTACTCTCCGGCGTTTCCTTGCTTATCCTAGCCTTTGAGTCCTTGTGATTCCCGCGGCGCTCCCTTGTTGCTCCCTCGATGCTCTTAACTCCCTTGAGTTTCTACAGCGGGGGTCATCCTCCTCGTAGCAACTTTAAATCTCCCGCGCCGATATTTCCTGTGTTCCCACTGGGACATCGATACTCCTAGGCTATCGATCCCCAGCTCGCTGCTCATTGCTGCGTCTCACTCCTTTCCATGTTTCCTCCGCCTGGTCACACCATTCGTGCGTGATCGATATTTATTCGCATATCGATACCGACGGTGCGGCGTTGCCACCTGCTCGTTTGCGATATTTCCACCTTGGCCG